AAAAATAATTAATCAATAGATATAGGATCAAAAGCCATAATGACATAAAATAACATTCAATAAAGTTAAAGTTGGACACCAAGTAAAAGAAATATTTGCCTTGACTGATGTGGCTCAGTTAGTTGGGTGTTGTCTCTTGGGTTCAAGTCCCAGTGGGGTCACAGGCCTGGGCTGTGGGCTCATTCCCAGGCTGGGGAGCATATAAGAGGCAACAGGTCAATGTTTTTCCCTCACATCAATATTTCTCTTCCTCTCTTTCTCTCTCCCTTCTCTTCTCTCTATAAATAAATAAGTAAAATCTTTTAAGAAGAGTATTTTAATCCTCACTGACTTTTTTTTCTGGGCCACAAAGACATTAAAAGCCTCAGAATTAAAACTGGAAGTTGCCTTGGTTTTATTCTTCATAAATCATTTTGGAAGTTAGAGCAAATCAGCTAATTTCACTGAACTTCTATGGAAATAGATGAAGAATTTGGAATGTATAATTTCTAAATTGCTTTTAAATTTTAGAGAATTTTTTTGAGATCTCCAATATAAAATCTGTGTAATCTGATATCACAGCATCTTAAATAACTGCAGGGCTCTTGGGAAGTATCTAATCCACTGATTCCCAAATATGACTCATTACCGAGATTGACAGATAACTGCTGAAACATGCTGCTCTGCCAACTTCACTTCAACAACTTCTATTTCCATAAATCTGGAGTCTGGCCATGGGAAATGAATTAACACTTCACAGATAAAGCTAATAAGTAGTGCCAATGGGAAAACTGAGGTTAAATGTACAATTTTATTCAATAAGTGGAATTTCTCAGAGAAGCCATGAAAAACAATGAAATTTAATTAAAAAGCCAAGGACAGGGTAAATATTTTAGTAAAATCTGAGTGAAATCATGGTCATATTCTCTTGCAGGAAATATATATATATATATATACAAAATTAGAGTTATATCCCCAAAAGGGAAGAGACAAAGGGAGCTAAATAAAAGGGTCCTAAGGTTTAAGCATTTTTCAAGAAGTGACAAAGTATCCATTTATTTGTTTGTTTGTTTATTTTACTTTTTTACTGCATTTATTGGGTTGACAATGGTTAATAAAAGGCAAAATATGGATTTATTAAACTCAAGTAAGTATGCTTTATTATGGTAATCACTAAGCAGAGATCAAAGTACGCATAATTACATTATGGGGAAATAGGAATAAGACTATTTTGTTTTATCTGCAAAGTGAGGCTGATTGACACTGAAGTAGCTTTCATGTCTTAGCTATGGTTCATAGTGCTGCAATGAACATGAGGTTGAAAATATCTCTTTAAAATAGTGATTTTAATTTCATCTGGATATAAACCAGAAGTGGGATTGTTGGATGATTTTTATCATTTTCCTTTAATTAAACACACATTTTCTTAGTGTATTTTTGTTTACCGTGGTTGAACAAAACCAATGTGAATTGGTTGTTGTTGTCTTTAACCCTGGGATTCACATTACTTCAAGGTATAATTGGTGTCAAGGTAGGTACCTTCTTTCAATACCAGTACTGTTGTCTGGCATTAATACAGCCCTTTGAATTTGAGGAATCGGTACTACTAAATCAGTACTGTTTTCCTTCCTTTTCCTTTCTTATATTTTCATCATAAGTTCCATTCATTTGAATTTCTGTTTTGTATACATTGTACTCTCTATCCTATCTGTCATAATTTCCAACTTTTAATTTTTTGCTCTATATTTAAAATAAGTCTTCATGTAAATTTTTAACCAAACAAATGTGCCTTTTAGCAGTGATGGGCCTGTCACCCAGTGCTTATACTGAGTTGACTTTTAAGTGTGACTTTTAATTGCTTTTAACAATTTTTTTTACTCTGCACCCATTTCCTAGCAGCTTATTTTTATCATATGCATATAATAGTCTCTCAAATCTCTTTGAAAATAGAATAAAACTGTCTTTTGTTTTATGTATATATGTTAATACCCTGGTATATTTGATTTAATTGTTCAATTTGCTTATTTAAATTGTTATTTTTCTTCAAACATTTGTTCTTATTCTTTGAGGCAGAGATAACTTGGATTGACAAGAAGTAACCTTCATTTTACTCAATGCATAATCTGTATGTACCAATTGCTATTTCTGTACTAGAATTTTGTTAAAATAGCCAAATTCCCGACTTGAGTTTTGAGTCAAATGATGCTTAGGGACAAAGCAACATAACCTGACTCACCTTTAGTTTCTCTTGCTGTGAACTAAGGAGGGGCGATGGCTTATTCATGGTTGTCCAGAGTAAACATCTTTGCTTACTTCTGGGAAACTTCCTCTTTGCCTTCATGGATTTGCCCATTATTCAATCTGTTCAGAGCTCACTCCCACCATAGATTACAGAATTTCCTCAAATTCTCTGATAATTTACTGTTTTGCTATTCTTAGATTTAATTTTTTTTCAGGATAGAAGATAAATATACAGTTCAGAGTCATTCTAAAATGAGAAAAAATATAAATATATGTCTAGTGAATTGGTTCACATAATGTTTGAGACAATGAAAATATATTGTCTGACTTACATTCCTAACAAGTGTTCATTTGCAGACTTGTGAATCTACTGAAAACTGTAAAGAGCAAGCTTCTCATACTTGTTCAAAAATATATTTCCATGACATATTTAAAATTGCATCATTCACACTAAGTTAAACTCTTTTCAAAAGAAAATAAAGTTAAATTGGCAAGTTAAGAGAACTAAAACAGATTATACCTAAATTAGGCATGTCTGAGGAAAAAGGTTTACAAATGCAGCTTATGTTTTGAAAGGAATGAGAGACCAGAGACCTGAATTTACTGTAACTTACAGGCAAGTGAGTGGTTTCTACAAAAACAGAAACAAACGAATTTGGATTGATAGAAAAAATGTTTGCAGCTAGATCACCCAGAAGGAAGGAAATTTTTGCGTGGTGTTTCCTATCACCTTCTGTTTGCACTCTAAAAGTAAAACAAAATGGAAGGCATGTTCTGGGTATTAGGAAGATGACATGAGTAAAACTTTGATGCTATTATTGCCTAAGATTTATAGAAAATTGTTCTCAATATAACTATTAGCTGAGATTTCACGGAAAATACTTCGCTAAAGACTTGAAGCGTACAATTAGGTTGGGTAACACCTCCATCTTATGTAATGTCATATGTCAATCATATCTCAGTAAACACAGTGGGGTGGGAGGGCATAAAGTGCTTTCAACTATCACCGGTCAAGTGTATTACACAGTATCATTAACTATAGTCACCCTATAATATACTGTATTCCCACAACTTATCCTTCTTATAACTGGAAGTTTGTACCATTAGACAAATGGCTTTCATTTTCCCCCTCCCCCAGCTCCTGGATGCACCAATCTACTCTCTGTTTCCATGAGTTTGGCTCCTCTAGGTTCCACATGCAAATGAGATCATGCAGTGTTTGTCTTCAGCTGTCCAACTTATTTTACTTAGCAAAGTAAAATAAGTTTTCTTCCATGTTGTTCCAAATGGTGGGATTTTCACTTTTATGGCTGAATAATATACCATTCGGTATCATATTTATTTTACCATTCATCCACTGACTGACACTTAGGTAGCTTCCATGTCTTGGCTATTGTGAATAGTGCTGCAGCGAACATGGGGGTGAAATTATCTTTTCCAGATAACGATTTCATTTCATTTGGATATATACCCAGAAGTAGGATTGCTAGATCATATGGTAGTTCTGTTTTAAATTCTTCGAGGAACTTTCACACTGTTTTCCACAGCGGCTGTACTAATTTACATTTCCCTCAACAGTTCACTAGCGCCCATTTTTCTCCATGTCCTTGTCAACACATGGTATTTCTTTTCTCTTTATGTTTCTAATTCCCCCACCTTAACCTTTCCTTTGGCAAACATCAACTTGTTCTCTATATCTATGGGTCTGTTTCTGTTTTGTTCTATTTATTCTTTTGTGGTTATTTTTAGATTCTACATATAAGTGAAATTTTATGGTATTTGTCTTTGTTTGAGTTATTTCACTTAGCATAGTATCCTTCAGATTTATAATGTCACAAATGGATAGATTTCATCCTTTTTTATTGCTGAGTAATGTTTTATTATATCTTTTTGTCTTCTTTACCCATTCATCTATTTATAGACATCCATGTTGCTTCTACATCTTGCTTATTGTAAGTAACGCTGCAGTAAACAAAGAAATGTGTATACTTTTTCAGATCAGTGTCTTATTTTCTCACATAGATACCCAGAAGTGGAATTGCTGGGTTGCATGGCTGCTTTATTTTTAATACTTTGAGACATTTTCACACTGTTTGCCACAGTGGCTGCACCAGTTAACAACCCCATCAACAGTGTACAAGTGTAATCATCACAACAAATCATCATTTGTTGATTTTTTTGGTGATGGCCATTCTGACTAGTGTGAGGTGATATCTCATTATGGTTTTAGTTTGCATTTCCCTGTTGATTAGTGACATTGAGATTTTCTTGTACCTGTTTGCCATTAGTATGTCTTCTTGGGAGACGTACACGTTGTTTGACTAATTTTTTTAAAAATCCCATTATTTATTTGTTATTGAGTTATTATGTGTTTCATATATTTTGCACATTAATTCTTTATCAGATATAAGACTTGCAAATATTTTTCCCATCCCATAAGTTACTTTTGCATTTTGTTGATTAATTTTTTGCTATACAGAAGCTTTTTAGTTTGATTCACTTTTTTTGAGTATTTTACAAGCATTGCATTTATTGTGAGAAATTCTTTTAATCTCCATAATCATAGTCATCTTTTAATAAACAGCAAGGACACAGTCTCATAGTCCTGACCCAGGAAATATAATTTAGGATTAATTTTCTTTCAAATTAAAACATTCCTCTGATGAGCTGCCCAGTCAAATAATGTTGCATTCTCTGAGAGTCGTTAGCCCCTCCCAGCTGATCTTTTGTACACAAGAATGTGAATGTGAACTTCTAATACCACATTACTAAAAGCATCTCTCTGCAGCCTTCCCTATGTCTTCACTTAGCCCATGTAACTTTTCACTGTAGCCTCTCAGAGATGGGGATAGTGCTGCTATCACTTAAAGGCAACAAGATATCTTCAAGAAAAACAACTCTAAATTCCATCCATCGTACTGACATCCATTGCTTAGGAAAAGCATGATACAGAAAACTTCTTAGAGAACCAGCTCTGGATCTTTTGTCTTCTGGATTTCCAGGTGAAAATAATTATTGGAGAGCCTAGAGTTATTACTGATTTCAGCACAGTGATTTTCCACCCTCATGTGATTTGTAAAACTTGAGTAGTGTAAACTTTGATTTCCATAGCTTTCAATGGATTTTGCAATGTCAACAGTGACGTTTGAACTGGATTATCTTCCTCCTGAAGGCTTCAGACATGAGCATGCTTCCAACTCAGATTTTACTTTAACCTCTTTGACTGAACTCTCTGCTGATTCTAGTCAACTGGAACTTCATGACTCCACTTTTGTCCCCACTGGTAAGCTAAACTTTACACTGATATTTTGAGTATATTAACTTATATCTGTACTTCCTTAATGTCAGATATGTAAAAAATAAATCATGATGTCACTTTGTGATGGGGTAGCTGATGTGAATTTTAACTTTTTGAATTATTTTCCCCAAAAAATATGTAAATCGATTTTTACAAAAGGTGTAGAGGATTTTGCCAATAGAGTGAAATTCAATGAACGCAGAAAACTGTTCATAGTGAAGTAGATTTTGTTTATTTGAATGCCCAAGCCTTTTAAGGCTGAGTGTTGTTTGGAATGACTGATAAAATTAAGAATTTTATTTATAAACTGCAGAAAAAGAGTTTTGCCATCTTCCATTTATCTATCTATATCTTATTTTTCATAACCATATGAACTATAATATGTTCTTCAACTTCTTATTAAGAACATAAGCCAGGTGTTGAAAGACAAATACCATATGATCTCACCTTTAATTGTAACCTAATCAACCAAACGAACAAGCAAGCAAAATATAACCAAAGACTTTGAAATTGAGAACAGGCTGACAATGACTAGAGGGGAGAGGGGAGGGGATAATGGAGGAAAAGGATGAAGGGTTTACAGGAACAATTATAAAAGACACGTGGACAATAACAAGGAGGGTGGAAAGGGGAAGGGGGTGGGGAGGACTGGGGTTGTGGGGAGGGCAGAAAACTGTACTTGAACAACAATAAAAAAATAACAAGAGAATATTCCTTTTGGCTATGTTATTTTATGACCTGACTTAGATTCTGTATCAGATGGTAGTATTGGTAGATTTCAGTGTGTAGAATTTCCTTTTTGATACATACAGTGTTATATATCCAGAATTGCAGTTTTCACTCTTACTCAGCAATGCTGAGTAAATAATGATACACACTAGTACTTTGCAGTATCAAAAAGTTCTGAGAGTTTTGTTGATAATGAACAAATATGATATGTCAACAATGAATTAATTATACTTCGTGGGATAATTTTATTAATCAAAAATTAATATGTTAAATGTTATTCAAAAGTAAAAACTTTGTTACGATTTCATTGTTTTTCTTTCCTCATAAAAAAGGCTGTATGATGTGAAAGTGAAAGTTAAACAAAGAATTTATAGCCCTGGATGTTACTGGACATTAAATTTTGTCCAGTAGAAAGTACTTTATAAGAAAAATGAATTGCATTTTGCAACTAGAGAATTCTTCTAACAGAATTTAGCACACTTATTTACTTTTAAATATTTGAAATGAAGTTTTGTGTGACTCCCAGTCAATAACTGATTTGTTGCTTGTAGGTTCTTTTGCATTATATGACTAATTTCACAATATCAGTCATTATATAAACAGGAGATATCACATCCTTTTGTATAGTTTCTTTCAACTGTAAGAAAAGAGATGTCCATGTTATTATTACTATTTTTTGCACCTACAATTTAATAAAGTAGACAAGTCAGTTCTTTATAAATGAGCATAGCTTATTGTAGTAGATTTGGACAGGAAAAAGAGATTTATAAGCAAGTATTTGCCAATGCCATCATGATTTAAATTCCTATGTTCTTCCAACCTTGTTTTTTCTTCAATTTGTCTTTGTCTCTACACATCTATTTCAACAGATTCAACGGCTGTCTTTATGCAGCTCACCTACACATCTGCAGCTTAAGTATAAACTCTTCACCAGAGCCTGCAAGATACTTTTGCCTCAATACCCTGGCACTGCCTCAGATTCGATGCATATGAGCTAAACTCCCTAGAAATGCCTCTTCCTTCTTACATTCTTTTTTTTGTCAAAACCTCTAAGTCATCTCTAAGATCCCTTAGCATTTATTGCAATATAAAATTCATGTTTATGTATATGGACATTAGTTTAATATTTGTCTTCTCTACCTCTTTGTCCACCTCTATCATCCCATAAGTCAATGGGGTACCTGAATATAAGGGTTGTTTATGTTTGGACTCATGACCTCCTGGCTAAGAGACTGAAAGATTAGTCTCCTTCAAATCCCATAGGAAATGCACCTGTATGGGCTTCAAACTGATCTTACTTCCAAGGTTTCCATTACATTTCTTGCCCAGTGATGGCCACACAGTGCTCAGTAAGCACACAGTCCTCCAAGAGCATAAGGCTAACCCATTCCTGCCTTTGTTTGCAATTTCTGCAACTCCATGTGACCTGTCTTAGAAACTGGATGATCTGGGATATATATATGCTTTTATTTTTTTCCAAAACTTTTTGCATCCTCATGTGATGTACACATATCCTGTAAGAAATAGTTATACCCCCAAGCATTGTTCAGATTATTTCAAAGTAATTTCCAATAGTTCCCATGCTTCTATTGATTAAGATATCACTGAGATAAAATACTTTCTTATTCCCAAATGCCTATGGTTAACTCAAACATCTACAAAATGTTTGTCCTATATATTCAAAGCCTCACATTCTAATTCTTGTTGTAAGTACATCTGTGGCTCCTCTCCTGTGAGATCATGTTTCTTGAGGATAATGGCCCCTTCATAATTGTTTGTACCTGTGCATGATACACATGTGGTACATAGGATTAGCTAAATGATCAAATGTAATTTATCTTTTAATGACTTTTCTGTATAGGGAGTATTTGTTTAAATCAGGTTACATGTGTATTTTACCTGCAAAAATATTATGTTGAAATTGTCACACGATTTGTTACCTGACATTTCCACTGTGTAGGTTAGTGCCATTGTGGAATTTGTCCTTCATTTGAAACTGTTATGGAGTATTGTACATTCTAGAATCTATTTTGCATGCTAGATCTTCTTGCCCTATTTCCAATAGAGTTAAGGTTGTATTAATGCATATAAAACACATTAATTAAATATTTGTGATTGAGGGTTAAAGGCTGGGGTCTGTATGAGAATGAAAATGAGGTGATTGAGCTATGCTCTTTCAGCCTCAGTGGTGTGGCGGTAGCTATTTAACATGCATGTGCACATGTTCCTAGCATGGGAACATAAAACAGAATAGATGAATGTTAGTCCATAGAACATTTAGCAGGGCTGTCTAAGAAGAAATATATTTCATTGTCAGCAAAACAGTATTTATAACTTTCACTTACATAATACCTTGAAGATAACTCATAACTACAGAATTTCAATAGTTCTCAGAAGTTGTCAATGAGATAGAGTTTACTGATCTTTCTTTTTTAAAATTTTATTTATTTATCTTTAGAGGGGAAGGGAAGGATAGAGGAAGAGAAACATCAATGTATGGTTGCCCTTCGTGTGTTCCCTGCTGGGAACTGGCCTGCAGGGAACCAGCCTGCAACCCAGGCATGTGCCCTGACTGGGAATCGAACTGCGATTGTCTGGTTCGCAGGCCCACGCTCAATGCACTGAGCTACACCATCCAGGGCTCATTGATCTTTTTTTCAGTAGAAGGAGAATCCAAAGACCAGGAAAGTAATACAGTTGGACCAAAGTCACATACCTGTAGTGTGTGTATGTGTGTGTGTGTGTGTGTCTGTGTCTGTGAGGAGGTGGTGGCAGAGACAAGGATAATTCAGGAAAATCTATTTTCTGTCTCTAAATTTAGCATTCATTTTTCTCCTCAATACCACTTGGAAATTAAGTTTTAAAGCATTCACGCGGGGGGCAAATGCTTCTTTGTCTCTCAAAAATGAATTTTATCAGTAATCAATAATAATATAAATATCATATCTAGGTTCTGGAATGTGCTTTCAATAACATTTAAGGCCATAACTAAATAGATCAAGATCTATCATCATGATCATCAGGGTCATTATCATCATCACTGTGGTGCTGATGATGAGCACATATATATATCAGTTCCTGTGTATCATGCAGTGTTAAATGTTTTATATACATAAGCATATAAAGTGTTATGTAGGAATGGTATACATAAACATATAATTTCATATATAAATATATAATATGTTTATATATAACACAGTAATGTATATTTACATTTATATTTATATACTTTTTAATCTCCCATACTCAGCCCTATAAAGAATTAGGGAACATTATCATTTACATATCAAAATATAAGGCAATCAACTAATTTTGTCTAGTCCTTAAGAAATTTGAAGTGGGACGGTGGGTCACTCCCCACTATGAAATCAGTAGTCTGCATGTTTGACATCCATGTGACACTGTTCCTTATGACCAGCATGAAGAATAAGAATAAAAATATTTGTACATAAATGCAAAGAGTTCTTACCAATGATCCACATATATATATATATATTTATAAAGTCTATATGTCTTTAATTTTCTGAAATGATCTATGATGTATCTATCATTCATCAAAACTTCTTTGGATCCAGTTATATTTTTGATTTCCATGAGTTTTTGGTGACTAGCTCTTTTAGAAGTTTAGAGGCCCCTATATAAAGAAGCTGATCACTTGTTTATGTTAGGTTAGTATAATATTGCAGAATGAATTGATGACTTCCATCTGAAGTTGTCCTGGGGGCAATTTTAAAAGTTGTCCCTTCCTCTTGTTTGCAGTGTCTACCTCTATGGATGTTTGATACTTAGGCTAAATTACTACTGTGTAATTACTACATCTATTTCCTGTATATTTGATGCTTCTGAATCCTTCTACGGCTCTCTCCAGCTCCTCAAAGACCCTACTTTCCATTTTTATCTTCCATGAATTAGTGTTACTCTAGTCCTAAATTAAAGTGGTGTTACATGGTGAAGTATGGCATTCTTTTAGAATTTAAGTATCTCCATACAATTAGATAGTCACCTATTGACAAAAAATATATATTTTATTTTTAAAAAATTGTTTTGTTAGTTATCCCAGTATCAACAAATGAAAATAAGCCAGTACCAGCAAATTTCAAATTGGACCAATGGCATCCATACTTAAATAACATGGACATAATTCACATGGATACTGATATAATTACTTTACAGTGGTGCTAAATATGAAATGCTAATTCCAAAGAATTTAAACCATTTGGTTTTTCATCTGTTTTTCCTTTTAAAATGGGTATGTT